CAAAAAACTTTTCTAGCATATCTAGTCCTCTGATTTCCTAGAGGAAAGATGTCACGTCTGAAGTCTCCTTGAAAACTACTAGTTTTTTGTGGAAGCCAGAGAAGGGATCAAATTGAGGAAATCAGCTGTTGAAAATCCACTTCAACATTCTGCCATAGTCTTTGTGAGAATAAATGGCATAATTTCCCAGCTATTACAATCTACACTGGCAGTAATTTTGCCCTTGGGCCTTAACAAGACATATGTAGAGAAAGCCTATTCAAACTCATCCTTTAAAAGATATTAGTCTTGTTAAAACAGAAGTTGTTTCCCATGTGCCAAGGACAGGAAACCGCATTATGACTTTAACATGAAGCAAGATTATGTAAGTGGAGTGATCAAAATGATAAGCAGGACTTTGTTTCATGGAGGGAACTGGATGGGTTAGAGTAGCTAATTAGACTGTTTGGCAGATGCTGAACCCTGTTTTCACCCAGACTCCACCCAGCTGGAAAGTCCCTTTTATAGTTTCCTTTTGAAATTCTCCTTTGTGGTACCTTTGTCAGAGAAGTCCACTGTTCCCCTTCAGAATTCAGCCACATAGTTCTGTCTCCTGGCCGAGAGGTTTGAGAGATCAGGTCCTGCAACCAGAAGGGCCAACGTTATCTCTGGAAAAACCATCCTGTCTCTTAATGGTAATCCTCATTGGGAATTGAGAACTTCAGAACCCCAGTGACAGGGAGCCCATGATCAGTGCTGGCTGTAGAGCCTTGGCAGGTACAGGGGTTTCCAGCAGTGCCTGGTGCCACTGCCTATGCTGTGCTTGCCCCAGTAAGCCTGAGCAGAGGCGTAGCAGCCAGCTAAGGTCCACCCTTTGCATGACACACGGGGAGGGGAAGCAGCTCCTGGCTCCGGCTGTTAAAGGAACAGCAAACCTGTCTCCCATAAACACACCCTGCCATTAATCTTTCACCTTGAAGTACACCTCCATGTTATTTAATACTTATTCTAAGGTTGCATATATTACATATCCAAAATTAAGAAAACCCCTAAATTTTCAAAATGCTCCCTTTGTAAATAAGTTCTTATTCCCCAAGGAGTTTTCACTTCCTTCCTATGGTTTACTATAATTTTTAAATTTTCAATATTGAGATCTTGAAGCACTGACTTTCTTCATCCTATGCAGAATTATTATAGTCAATGGTATCCCAAGAAAGTAGTATCATCTTTGCAGTGTAACCAGTTGAGATCCCAGATGCCTTGCTTTGCTCTGTACCTTTCTTACCTGAGACAAAAGGCCATCTTGTTCCATTGTGGTTGCAGTCACATACAAGTCCTGTGTTATCTGCAGCAATGCAATTTCACATCTCTCAGCTTCCACAGACACCAGTAGTTCAAATGTCTCATATGCAGGTGAGCAACTATTTTATAAACTGACTCAGAGCCCCACCTCTGACTGGTTTCTTAAAGCCAGTTAAACCCTCCCATTTTCTTATGGTAGGAAGATGAATCCTGTGGTCAAATAAGTAGGAAAAAATACTTTTGCCTGTATAGCGTGTGGAAGTATGGTATTTGAGTCACTTTGCTCCATACTGGTCAATGGCAGGTTTATAACTAATGGTAAGAGAAGGATGCCCTTTTATCTGAGCACTGAACTTTCAAGTGAGCAAGACCTCAAAGTCTACAGAAGTACATACTCTATAATAAGATACAGCAAAGTACATAAATTGAATTTAGGTTGTCTGTGACAGTAAGCAGATAGAATAAAACATCTAATGAAAAAAAAGAGACACAACACTATTGCTCTGAGCCTAAACAGGTTACTGCAAAAACCAGTTTAAGACTTTCTGAACCATATGCCCCTACAACCCCAGGTCTAGGCATGCAGGACAGATACACTTGCATGGTGGTTTATATCTACTCAACCTAGGTTCAGCAGGGCTGGGTCTATCCTAAAGTCACTGTATTCCTTCCCTCTTCTTTCTTATGGCATGTTATTATTACTTACATGCTTAGATGTAGAGTCCTGAAGCAATTACTTTCCTCAGCTTAGCTTCACCCCCATGAATATTTCTGCATCACTTTCCAGCTCAGACTGACTCCAGCTGCAAACTAGCTGCATTTAAGTGCCCACATCTGACCCAATGAAATCTGCCAGCCAGAGGCAAAACTCAGCACTGACCATGTGCTGCCTTCCTAAAAGTCCTCATCACACCTGTGAAACCACTGCCAGAGCAGTACACCTGCCCCTGTGAGCACCCAGCTGACTCCTATGCCACCAAAACTGGCGTGACTCCCAACTCACCAGAAGAAGATTAAAAAAGACAGCCAAATACTGTTGCATCTACAACAGGTCAAAACAGGACAAAATCTGGGGGAGGAGCTTCCTTTGTTTCCCTGCTCCCCCAGTACATCGTCTATGAGCAAAAAGTGCTCATTCTCTGAGTATTCTTCAGCTTACTGGTTAAATGCTGCCACCAGCCAGTTCCCCTTTGCATATTCCCCTGCAAAATAACATCAACAGTCATCGCAGTCAACTTGGTAGCATAAATTTTTGACATAGGCTATGGTATTTCATAACACCACAGAGGGTTGTGTCTACATATATGGCATGTTTCATTTGTGTGCCAGTTGCAATGATGTAGCTTGATGAAATGCATTTTTCATTAGGTCACAGAAAACCCTTGGCAACATCAGCATCTTTCAGTCATAGTTAAAGATGGTGCTTTATAATGACACTTCCTTGGAGGGCAAAGCTATAAACCAAACTGTCCTCCAGGACTGGGAATCTGAGGCTGTAACTCCCACAGTGCCAGGGGTCAAAAAGCTCTCATTTTCATGAATAGTGTTTGCAATCCACATTAGAGACAGCCCCTACAGGAGGGAGGGACCATGGCTCACTGTGTACCCCTGCAAACTGTCTCTGATACATTCCTTTATCCACAATGCTCACAGTAAATATTTTGTGTGCTCTTTGCAGAGATAACAACAGTTTTGTTTTCCAGGAACAAGGAACATACTGTGAACCTGGAGCACATTATTGAAATGTCTGAATATGTGGAGCAAGGCAGAATTTTCATTTTGCAAACAAGCCTTTATTGTCTGGTACTGTATACACAAAGTATTCTCGTGTAAATAACATTTCGTCTGAACTGGAGGCGGCATGAGTTTATGGCTAAAAACTGTGTTTATATTTTCACAACAGGATTTTCAAGTAAAAATGGAGGCAATTCCCAGAGTTATATGCAGAACACATAGCATCCTATTTCTGATTATGACTAGTGAAACTACCATAGAACAAAAAAGATACCAGCAGAAGTTCAGAGTCATTCAAAACCTAAAGTTTTGAACGTTAATATTTATCCTGTGATCTTTAGGCTTGTAACATTAGGCTAAAGTTGCACAAAAACATAAGGTTCGGTTTGACATCATGAATGACAAAAGTGTTGGCAAAAGTCATTGTGAACCAATTTGTAAGATAATTTTTCATTGCTTCTTGCCAAAACAAAAATCCTCAGAGAGTCATTTTGAAACAAGCCAAATATATTATTTGGCTGTAAATGAAACCTGTTCTTTTCAGGTTGGGTTCCCTGGGCTGACGAGGTAGGCAGTCTATTAAAAAGAACTTATGTTTCAAAACAAAGATGTTTTGTAAAATATCAGCATGAAATGTTTCAACTTACCTAAGCATTTTACCTGGTTTATTTTAGCCACATATTATAACATCTAGTTGATAGATTTTTTTTTTTACTGAAGAGACTCTTTATTCAAAATTTTTGCAGTTGTTGCTAGGACAACAAAGTGTATTTTTAATTTTACTTGCTCCTGGAATGCGAAAGTTATTATGGATTTATAGTTTTTACACTCTCAGCACAGTTCAGAACAGTTCAAAAAAGATACTTTCCATAAAAGGAAAGAGGAAGAAAGTTTAAAAATGCAAAACTACAACAAATATTATTTATGATCTTGTGCTAGATCCCATGGATGGTCTGTGCAGATTAAGATGGTCTTAGTTGCTGCAGACTACTGATTCACTCCCACACAGTTTGTACAGGCAGAATTGAACAAATAAGCAGTCTTGTTGATAGGCATATGTCCGAAACTGTTTGCATTGAGTAAGACAACAAAGTTTTCATTATCTATTGGAAGTAAAATATTTTCAAGCACCTTTTCTTTTTAATTTAAGAAGGGTATTTTAATATGAGATGTAATTCAACTGGGAAAAAAAATTAAGGGTGTTTTATTTTGAAAACTTTGAAATAAAATGTTGAGATTTTATATACTGTCTCGGTACAAAACAAAACTGACATAAATTCACAGGAAATTTTGATGTGCCCAAATTACACCCTTTGCTGTAAAAAAAAATTGTGTGAAAAGTGTTATGCCACTTCCTCCTAAGTTGTTCCTTCCCATCACGTATGATTCATTCACAGCCCAAGAGAGCCCAGGATGTGGATGCAATTCATAGGGCTGTCTGTGTTCACACATTCGTCCCTCCTTCCTCCTTCCAATCTCTGTGGTTGCTCTTTGGGATGCTCGCAAAACAGAGTTGACCCAGGGATCCAACGCTAGCTTCCAGTTGTGTCTCAGGTTCTCTTTGTTTTCCAGGTTGTACCTTGTGTTCCATGAAGAAGAATTGTGGGAGCAGAAGTTTATACTCCCTTCTTATGGCCTGTAGGTGTGTTGGCTGCGTTGCATAACTGCAGCACTCTGGTGGTAAAAAATTATTTTCCTTTATGTCACATGCTATAATCAGTTAGGCCTAAAACACTCTATTTTTAAAATCTAACAAGTATTTTCAATAAAGAATGTTCTACAGACAATCTTACTTCAGAGAACAAAACATATGTAAAAATTTCTCAGGCAATATCTTTGCCTATAGATGCCACTTCTTGGAATAAAAAAAACTCTCAACAAACCACTGCACCACCTGGGTAGTTTCTTTCTGTAGTGCAGAATGGCCAGTGTTGAAAAAGCTATGAAAAACCCCTCTGAGAAGATAAGGGCAGTTGGATGGGTGATCAGCACATCTTCTGCCTTCTCCTTTGCATTGCTATCTGCAAGGCCTGCATAATCATCTGAGAGTTGTTCAGGATATTGTATTCACTGAGATTCAGCAGCTTGCGGTAATTGTCATCGGTGTACCTGACCGAGAACATGCAGTAAGGGGAACAGCAGCTGGTCAAATCAAGTTGTCCTCCCTCCATCTCTGAGCAACAGCGCTTGACACCTGGAGAGAAAGAGTTGTTATTGCTGTAACATAATGTTCATCTCAGTCAGTGTCAGGCTGCCCACAAAAACTCAGAGGGGACTTTTCTCCAGAAGAAAATTTATAGGGTTTAAATGCACAAACAATGTAAGTCATGTATACCCACCCCTAGTCAAGAGAATGTTGTGGGCCTGAAGTGAGGGCAGAAGGGAGAAGTGAGGGATTGCATTGTAATGGTTATCTACAGCTTACTCCTAAACATCTGTCTCATTAAAGCCATGGATCCAGCAAGGATGTCAGCCTGAAAGGGCACTTCAAAAACCACTCCTGGTGCACTTCAGGTCTTATTCTGAGCAGCTGGGATTTCTATGAAGCTCAACTGAGGAAGAAGTTGCTAGCAAGAGAATAGAATTTAAATAAGAAAGGATCAATAGAAACATATGGAAACTTAGAGTTCCTGTGATCCCAAATGTGGTTGGATGGATGCCAGCAGGATCCATCTTTTTCTTTCCATTTCCTGTGTTGCCCGAATTCCACAAAAGCAGAATTTTAGACTTAACCTCCCTGCTGCCAAGGAACAGAACAAATGCATTCTAGTAATCCGTGCTAAAGAAGAGGAATGCAAGGCAGGTGGCCTGGAAGAAAAAGAGTGACAGGCCCCCCATTAACCCAGTCAGTAAAGATAGCCAGCAACAAAGAAAAAGGCTCCGTGTGAGTCAGGGAAGCAGGCAGTGTTGTCTTTTTTTTTTAATGCTTTGCCACTACTTGTAACTTACCAGGTGCTTTGTACTCTTGGAAAGTATCATTCACGAGGGGAAGAAAAATCACAATCGGACATCCTGGCAAATCTGAATCATGGAAGAGGTAGCACTCCTTCAGATTTTTCTTATCTTCGTCAGTCAAAGAAATTTTTGGGAATGGGATTTTCTGCTCTGAGTAGTATTTACACGCCTTATCTAGAGACTGGAGGATCACAGACATGGTCAGCAATGAAATTCAACTTTGTTGTCTAAAGGCCCCAAATTGTCATCTAGTATTAAGGTTTAGTGACTCAGATCCATTGGGTGAGCTCTTTCTTATCAAAAGTTATTCCATACATAAGTACAGAAGATAGTAACAACATTTCTAATCACAAGATGTAAACAAAACTTCAGAGTTGGAGAATTCATCAAGGACAATGCTTTTTTCAAAAAATTGAAGCAATTTGCAGACGTTTAGGGTAAAGCATGAGTTTTAGCAAATAAAAGAGCCTATGTTTAATATATTGTATAGAATTAACTAGAAAAGAAAATGACAGCAAGAAAATCTTTTAGGCATCTTATTATGTACCTGGAAGCCAGAAGATCAGAAAGTTAATTTTAAATGCGCAATTATGTCTCTGCCTGTGCAGGCACAGTGTTAATTGAGATTGACAGTTTACTGAGAAAGTCTGAAGTTCTAGGCTATACTGTATCTTTTCCCTGAAATGTTTAGTAAAATACCACGTCCTAATATGTACTGTGTTATTTACTCTGCACCATCTAATAGTGGACACTATCAAGCAGAAAAATTTTCTCCTAAAATGTTTAAAACTCTAGCAAACTTTCTTCCTAAATTTTATCTGACAATGAATGAGATTGAAATTAAACTTCATTAATTATATGTCTCATGCAACATACAGCTTATTAGGGGTAGTGCAGCTGTTCTCATTCAGAAAAAGAAATTCCATTTAGGTAGGCCAAGATGGCTAATAATGAGTTTCCAATTAACCTCAGTTTCTGACATATAAAGGCCCAAACTTCTTTACTGCAAGCCGTTATGGATAGCTAATTTACTTCATCTCCATGAAACTGGGGTTTCTGCAGGAAGATGCTTGTCACTGAATTTTACTTGTAGCATCTTCTTTGTCAGCTCAGAAATTATCTGTTTCTGATATCCATTTAACCCTTTTTATATTCTAATTTAAGTCAGAAGAAATCACTTCCTCATCTTTATGAATATTCCTGTGCAGGGTCTGGAAACCTGCTTGAGTCATGTTCTCTTGAATAATTTGATGTATTCATAAACCAGAAAGAAGGATTCCAGGAGTGACAGGAAGAAATAAGAACAACATTAATCCCTACGGTGAAAAACAGGGGAATGCAGACATCAAAAACTGAAGAGTTGAAATAACCAGCAGTTCTAAATGTTACAGGCTGGACATTTACAAGTAAAGGAAACACAACACATGGTAACAAGAATGTCCTCACCGATGTATGTGATCCAGTTGTATAACTTAGATATATGATGACATCTACTTCCCTCTGTGGCCTTAAAAGGGGTGCACTGCTGGTATTGATGAAAAATCCAGCATCTATCATGCCCAGTTGATCAGGGTTTTGCACCAGCTGGTTGGGACGTGAGTCTAGCACAGTGTCTAAAAGGAAAATATTTCTCAGAATAAGAATTGATCTGCAGGTATTTTGACTGGAAAAAAAAAAAAGTGTGAAGTGGAACTGACCATCCCAGAGGCCTGGTTCAATTTAATTGCCATACTACTGGACTGTCAAACAAGTGCAAGTAGGACTGCAAAATGCCTAAACTCCTGTTCTAAAAAATCTTCTGTGTTGAGTTTCCAGGCAATATATTCCACGAGCATGTCATACTCGTTAGTGCAAGTAAGCTACATCTAATGATTAACCTAAATCTGCCTTGCTTAATTTCAATCATTGTTTCATCTCTTATCTATCACTGATTTGGAGAACACAATATTCTCAATCCTTTGTACATTTGGATTTGTGCCTCCCCCTCAGTCCCCTCTTCTTTGGACTACGAAGTCCCATTCCTTTCTCGCTTTCTCTCGTAGGTGACATTTTCTTGGATATTCCAGTTGCATTTGAAGTTAGAGGCATAGTCTTGCCAAATTAAGCTTTCTCCCATGTTCACTCTGCTCTCTGCCACTTTAAATTTGATTCTGCCAGCCGCAAGCCTACCCTATCAGTCTGGACTGCAAAGGACTCAGCCAAGCAAATAAACACATACGTTTAAAAAGAGTGGCAACACTGAAGCCTTAGTATCTTATTTCTGTTCAGAAAATAAGCATTCTCTCAGGAGGTTCTTTTCCACTGCCAAGCCTGACAGGCTTCTTTCCTAAATTGTCCACCCTGAAATTACCCGAAAATTATGCCAGTCCCCATCACCTTTCCATTGACAAAAGTGCTCATTCTCCATGTAGTTGTTATGCAGCTGGTAGCCCTTCAGGAAATTGTGGTGCTGGGCGACGGAGAAACGATCTGTCAACGCTCCCCGTAGGGCACTGGACAAGGGGCCAGGAGGAGTGTACATGCGAGTCCTCAGCTCATGGGGCCTGGTGGGCAACACGGGGTCTTCATCTAGAGGAGGGCAGAAAAGCTGGTGAAGTGCTTGTTAAATAATGTTCATTTCTGGCTGCCCTGGTGTACAAGGTCTGTTCTGGGATGATTCACTACATACACACAACCTATTCCAAAGGAAAGGAGTGGCTGCTGAACAAAGCTCTGCTGATGGTCTTAAGCTTTGGCCTAAAGACAGTTCATCAGAAACAGTCTTTTGTCCTGGAAAAGAGACACCTTGGGAACTAAGAAATTCAGAGAATGTTCTGTCAGAAGGAAAGTTACATGTCCTCACAGGAAGGTATCAGAATCAAAGGTAAGCATGGAGAAAATGGGGCTGACGCATATGCTACTCCTCAGTCAGATGGGCAACAACAGTAACCACGGGGTCTATTGCAACAGTGACAGCTGCTACCTGATATTCACTCCGGGCAGCATGAGCATGTGCTTAATCAGCAGAGTGAGAGCAGGAAAACCTGGGGCATGCATTCATATTCAGAAACTATGTCTAATTTTTAGGGTGGGTACCTGTCGTACTTCAGCAAGAGGTGTGGTTTTTTGAAATCACAACCTGCTTTGCTGGACCAAGAGGCTGACAATGCAGCAGGAGAGACTTGGTGGTTTCTATGATTGCACAGATGTATTTCTGTATTTTTCAGGATGTCTGTAATTATAGTTACTAACATATTAAATGATTTAGCAATAAAATCATGGTTTCTATATTGCTTCGGAAAATACCCTCTGGGCCTTATTTATCTTTGTGCCGGGATGAATCCAATGCACTAATTACTCTACTGAATAATAAAATAAAAACCCAGGAAATATTATTTACCAATTGATATTCAGGTTTATTTTCTGCACAGGCAGTAAAAATAACCATATTTTCTGCCACTGGTTCTTGGTTCTGTATAGCTGAGAGTGGGCAATGCCAAAACACTTCTTGAGAAATGTCTGACCCCTCTAAAACTTCTTTTTAAGGAATCAGTAGAGCTTTAGTAAGTCTTTTGATTACAGGAGCCTTTCTCTCATTACCCCCTATTAGTCTATAAAGCATGAGGAGAAGTTGCTATCTCTTAGGAAGATCCTATGATACTAGGTTCAACATAGTTGAAACGATGATGCCAAAAGTTATCCAGAAGAGTAAATGCCAAAAGTTATCCAGAAGAGTAAATGCCTAAACGTCCATAAATGAAAGGCTTAATAATTTCTCACCAACTTCTTCTATTCTGTCTTGTGTCCATCTCTTCCAGAAGTCCTCTGAATTGTGGGAAAGTCCCCATATTTGTAACAGGTTCACAGAAAATATACTGCTCCACATACCTGTAAAAGGAATTAGTGAACACAAGGACACATTCTAACAAGAAAATGCATTTTTCCTTCTATTTTGACCTCCTGGCTTCATTTTTGAATAGGCTTAATACAAATATGTCTGAAGTTTCACACTGTTAAATTCCTCTTTCTTTGGCATTATTCCAGGTCATGCTACCATTAGCTTTGAGTCTAACCTACTGCATGGCTCTGCTACATGGTAAAGAGAGAAAAGAACGTGAGACGAGTAAAGGAGAAAAGACATGACTCACTCAAGAGACAAAATAAAAGTTTATATGACACAAACATCACAAACATATCCTTTCCATTCCTATCTTTCTTACTCCAGTTTTTTTTTTTCTTCGCATATTTTGATCACCTTCCACACACCCTGAATTTTTTCAAAGTGGAATGAACTGGGTCTTCAGATGTTTGGTTTACATGACAAGATCTCACACCGCAGTTTGTAAAGGCTCACAGATGCAGTGGACTCTAGCTCCACTGTGCACTCTTTTCTCCACCCAGGATTGCCCCTCTCTGCTTCCCCACTGGGGCACTGGTGGCTTTATTGACAAAACACAGTGCCATCATTTCATCTGTCATTTTAAATTTAAATCTGACTACCACAATTGGTCTTAAGTTGGAGTGCATTCAGAGAGGAATCAGAAGAATAACCAAAGAAGTGGGAAATATTCCTTACAAGGAAAGAATTAAGGAGCCTCATCTATTCCATCTCAAAGACACAGATATCTCATCTACCAAGACAGTGACAAGAAACTGAAATAAGACTTCAGGTTTTTTACTGTACTTTTTTGGACAGACTACTGTTCCCATTTCCTAGCAGGCAATATCATAGCAGTCCTCAGTATGTTAGAACAGAAATATCTACCCTCTGGTTAACAGCGTTGCATCCCTCCAAAGTGCTTCTGTGACAGGACAATGCAATACATTACCTTGAAGGTAGCAGATGCGGGATTCAGGGAGCTTTTTTAACAATCGTCCCATGAAGAACTCACTTCCAAAATTCTCTGTGCGAACGAATGCGCCGTACTTCAGAAGTCCCACCTCGTAGGGGGTGAACTCCACCCACTCTGTAATGCAGCCACAATGGGACACTTAGAGGGCTCCCACATGGGTGTGGAGAGAGGGGCAGCTAGGGTATAAGTTGATTACTATGCATTTACTGTGTGTTTACTATGTTGAATTTTCAAAGCCTCATTTATAAATGACCCTCTCCAGGACAGGCAGCTGAGCTCAGACACAGTGGCAATGGGGAGGCAGGAGCAGTTTACTGTTAATGATGGTGTTGCCTAAGGCAAAAAGTGCACACTGGAAGCAAGGCAAGTCTCCAGATCTTACACATTCTGTGGGTTTTCCAGCATGTACAAGGTTTTGCTCTGCCTTTCCATACACCACATCTAGCTGACAGTACTTCCACTGTTACCGATACAGTCAATTTAACTTCCTTTAAATAATTTGTTTAGGTACAAAGACAGGTACTCAGCTCTTCAGAAACTGTATTTTTATAAGAGACCAATTCTACTCTTTATGTGCTGTACCAAGGAAGAGGAAACTAGTCCTTGACTTTATTGGATATCCTCCAAATGAAGCGCAGTTGTCCGATATAACTGCAGTGTGAATGAAAACTGGGACAGAAATGGCGTAGACCATAATTTCCTTTTCATTCAGAAGTGGTTCAATTTTTCACCTCAACCATAACAAAATTTGATCTTAATTTTTGTTCTGCTTCTTCTCCTCATCTATTTCCCCTCATGGAAAAAAAAATAACCAAAACAAGGAGAGAAGAAACAGATTTAGTAGGGAGTAGGTTGGAAACCTTCCCAAACTTTATCATAACTATGTGGTCATTATTCATATTGAAACTATAACTGGGAATTAAGAAAAAACAATTCTCAGATAATTCCAATAGTCCTCATTCTAGGTAGGTCCAATAATATTTCAAAAATGGCATTTCTGGCAGAATTTCTACAGTGTATGTCTAGACAGTGAATGTTGCTCCCCAAACCCCTTGTATTAAAACTGTAAGGCATGGAAGTGAAGGTTATTTTCTCCAAAAAGCAGAAGAACACACCACAATTGTTTTCTCCAAGTGCTACCAAGCAGAGAAGAGGAAATCACAGGAACGGAGATGCCTGTTTTAGCCTCACATAGTCTGAACCACCATCCTTACCTTTGAAATCATTGGTGCTGTAACTGTCCCGGACACTGACTGCCACATAGATGGGCAGTGGGTTCTGGCCATCACAGAGTGCTTCTTGCTGCTCTGAGAGTTTGTGAGGGTCTTTCTAGTTTTGAAAGGTAAAAAAGAGGAGAGAGAAAACTATTTCTGCATACGTCTGTACATCCTAGAAAGTATTTCCCTGACAAGTAGGAGGAGAGGTAAGCTGCTCCTTAGGCTGAGGAGTGTAGTAAGCCATCCTTGTTCTCCTGAATCTGAAAGAAGCCCTTGAATATGTTGATATTTCAGTTTCCTTTCTTACTACACAACAGCAATCTCAATCCAACCTTGCAAGGGGACTGGAATTTGGCATTATTTGCATCCCACTCAGCTTCTTTTCTGAAAAAGCATATTCTCATTGAAGAGGTTTATAGAAAACATATGTCATGAACTACTGAAAAATTTAAGAGTAGCTAGTTTTGGAAGATTAGCGAGAGGTTAATGGTTACACACCTATAGTAAGCACTGTTCAAAGGGAAAAATGCTTGGCTAGATTGTGAGGGGGATCTCATCTAGCTGAGAGTAAAAGGGAGGCATCTATCTAGTTTATACTTTTGTTTGATACCAAGTGTTCCTCTCTGTATGTATTTTTCTGTTTACATATATATAATGCTATATATGTGCTTATATAAAAATAAATAAACAAACACAAATGAATGGTTGAATGACTGCAGCATTTCTGCCTCCACTGGAGGACACTACTGCCCAATCCTCAACCACTCACCTTTTTTCAATTTCCAACTGCCAAAGCACATATCTTTGAATTGTGATCCAGATAGGAAGGAGAGAGAGTGGACTGTTGTTACCGTAATGGTAGAAACCACTTCCAGTTACAGAAAAGCAAATTTGTAATTACTTCTAAAAATTAGTATCACTTAAACCATATGAATAGTGCTTCTCAGTAAAAGCAAAATATGTACTTGCCTCCAGTGTACTTGCAGATCAAGTTACCTGCCAGTGTATGCAGTTCACCAAGAACTCCAGTTGTTTCAGACTTGCATTTTGAACTCTTTCTGCACGAGTAATTTGCATCTTAGACAGACTTCCTGAAATTGCCTTCACTTCTAATTAAATATCAGCCAGAGTTCAAATGGTTGCATCCAGAACCTAATTTATTAACATATAGGATGCATTTATCCCTAGGTAAACTAATAAAGGAAATCAAAAAATCTGGTATTTGTTTAATGTGGAGAATGATACTATATTGAGGTACATTCTCTGAAATGATGGACTAGTTTCCTCTCTATTCACTAAGGGAAAAACACATGATTGAAATGAATATACATCATACCCCATCATTTAGTAAGTACTCAATCATGAGACCCCAAAGATCTATAAATGATGTCCTGTATCCCTCTTCTTTCCGCTGACAAAGCTGCTTGTTGTAGTACTTCATGCGATCCATAGAGAAACAGCCCATCTTGCATTTAGTTGCTTGTTTCTGGGCTTCACCAATATGCGAGTCCAGGTCCTTCTGTGACCAGTAGGCATCTCTGTATAAGTTGGCCATGGTCCTGGAGAAAGATAATACAGACAGCAAAAGTCAAAAGGAACAGAGGTTTACATTCAGGGATTTGCTCCTGCTTGTACATACTCTGTTTTTGCTGCTCCATCTAGCAGAATGAACATTCTAGAGTTTCTGTGACTGTTTTTAAAGATGGTCCTGAAGAATAAGGTGTGGTTTTTTATATTCTTGACCTGTTTTTTAAGTAGAACTGGCAGAAGCCACCAGCTGCTCTCTCTTGGCTTTGATTCACTTAGTGTTAATCTTATGATACCTTATGATATGGCTATCCTTTATAAACACTGTCCTCTATTTTACCAGCCTCCTTTGTATGAGATAATCACATATTAGGCAGCTGTAGGTCCTATGAGCAGGGAATAACACTGCCCAGGAGAATCTAGTCCTTTCACAAACTGGCAGGTTGCACTGATAAGTGTGCACTATCCTGCTGTTTTTTCCACATGACTAGCTAGAAGTCAGGACAAGTCTCAGAAGTTAATGGGAACCATAACAGCTGGGACATCAGTGGAGAAATGAAGAGGCATGATGCTATGGCCATCCACAGTTACACCCACGGTAACTACTTAATTAGAAAACACTTTTACAAGTGTAGTTGTCATATGCACATTTAACTGCTGCAAACATGGAGTTGATAAGTGCAGTAAAGAACTCTATAAAAACAAGAGTTCATGAAATCAAGGTAATATTTAATGGCCTGTTACTGAGAAACAGCTTGTTTCTATGACGTTTGAAGAAAATCTGATCTTGTCCACTTTTAAAGCTACTCTCTGCAGCAGTGCCACCCTCAAACGGCCTGGTCAAGCCTCCTGCTTGAGCTGGCTTACCATGTGGTGCCGGACAGCCCACTGATATATGTTACACAGTCCAAGAGATTTAATTTCTTGAGTCCCATGAGGCTGCCATACAATCCTGTCATTGACTTCAGTCCTCCACCTGTCGTGATGATAGCCACAACGGGGACCTGTTGGGCAGAGGGAGGATGGGACATTCACACTAACAGCATTCAACACTGCATCCCAAACTGCACTGAGGCCTGGTCACCACACTCCACCCAGGTCCTGATCACAGAGCCCAGATGCATTTTCAAAGGATGGACTCCAAAACCAAGCAATGACTGCTACTGCTGCTTCCCTTTGGATAAACATGGGTTCGGATATTAACCCAAATCTGGGTTCTTGCCCATCTCTAGGGCAAACAGGGGCACAGATTAATAAGAAGAAACCCTTCTGTAGAAGGAAAAATGTATTTTCTCTACATCTCCCACTCCTTCACCACTTTTTTTCTTATTTCACACATTGACTACTACTGTATGAAAATCTCCATTCCAATCCCATGAAGAAATACACTCTGTTCACAGCCACTGTTGTTAAGTTACCCTCTTCTATGTCGTTATTCTTCAGTATCATGAAGTTACTCTCAAATAAATTATATTTATTTTAAGAAATTTCAAAACTGCAAGATATAAGAAGATATAAGAAGCGCTCAGAGATGTTTGCCCTAAACTCCTACAAACTAGTGAAATTTGAACAAGGGAAGAAATCTTTGCTGTGTAATATATTCAGCCTTTCTGAACCAAGCCAGTAATAGCATAGCATGGCAGGAACGAACACACCTCAAATATGACAAATTCCAAATTGACGGTAATGAAGGATGAAATTACTGCAAGTAGTGATTCTTGCAATAACAAACCTCAGCAGCACAAGTAAAATGTACTTAAGACATACGGACAATCTGGTACCTGCATAACAGATGCATGCGGCCCATTTTGCTGATCACTCATTTAGAAGCGTACATGAAGGCACTAGGGATTCAAGTTCTACCCCCTCAACACAAACATACCTCTTGATCCTGCAGTTCCTGTGGCAGGTGAAACACAGTTTTGAGGGCACTTGCTACATATCTCTTTCTTTTCCCCAGGAAAGCCCTCTCTTCTGAACACAAGTCAAACCCAAAGCGCATGTCCAGGTCTTGGTGGCATGAACAATTGCTAAGATAAAACCAGACATATATATTAAGTATTAACACACTCACATCAATCTTAGGACTTTCACTAAAGATGGACTACATCACCCTTCTCTTCAAACAGGGTGATGCAACTTGACAGGAGTAAGAGAGATTATTCTCAATTTTTTTTTTTAATTAAGAAACTTATATCAATTAGTAAGCCTAACTAGTAACATTATACTCCGTTATTACTAAATGATGAAGAAACAATGTACAATACTTACGAATAAAACAAAATATTACAATAAATATTCTAAAACTAAAACAGTGACAAGTTTAGAAAATCTATTCCAGTGGTCAAAAGGGAGTGTATTGATTCCCATTTCACATGTTATTTTCTCATTTTAAATCTAAAATAAATCCCAGTTTTCAAATGTTGGCGTTTCCAACGCGAAGGAAAATTCTCCTTTTAAATAACCGTAGTGGGAACACTTCCCCCTCTAGCGGTGAGCATCGCTAGGAACAGTGGCTGCGGAACTTGGCTTGCTGAAGGAACCTCGGTGACATCCAGCCCTCGGATGAGCGTAGGCGGGTCACTGAGTTTAGTGGGGCAGCACTTCACCCTCGATACTCTGTTGTGTCCGCACTTGCACAAACTGTGTCACAGGTCAGTGCTGGAAGTTCTATTTCACATCAACCTTGACTCAAGGCACAATATTTCTCAGAGGAGATTTCATTGGTGTCTCTTCTGAAATTTAGTTAGTCATTCCTCAAGACCCCACTGTTGCAGTTTATTTTCCTGGGCATTTGTGCTCTTCCTCTCCTGCACCTACAAGCCATCAACGGGCAAGATATGGGGTTATGGTCAGGTCAGAGCTACCCATGGACTGCCTGGCTGGCCAGCTAGCCCTGGCCAGGCACTGTCAAATGGCAGGGGCTTTCTTTTTCTTTCAGTGACAGAATTATCACTTCTACTGTGTCCATAATTCCAATTAAACTAGTAATGAAATATATTTATGAGTTTTCTTCACCATCAGATTTGGATAAAATCAGCCAGATTATTATAACCTTATCCGTAAATGAAGACATACAAGGGGAATTGAGTTAGGTGGAGCTGCAAAAGCCTTTCTCCATTGTAAATCAAGATGCAAACAAACTGTTTTTAAAGTTCTCTGAAAGTAAAATAAATCAGCAGGAAGTGTTTTTCCTGTCCTGGAACAACACTGGTTTTCCTGTTGTCATTGATCACTTGCCTTTCTGAAACAAATGGTAGAAAACACTGTTTGAATTCAAAATTAGCTCATTTTCCCCTTTTATTTCTTAAACAGGCACACAGAGAGAAACATCCGTTTGCCCAGTTCTGTGTGTTACAAGAAATATCTTCATGTTTACTGATGAGTATTAATGAGCACATCTATAGATGTCAAATCACAATCCGTATTGTTTACCTTATCATTATATAGTATAACTGGACATAACAGAATACAAGGTTTGTTGCTACTGAATATTGACAGTTAAGCAAAAAACAATTCATAATTTTTTATCAAGTTAAATGTTTACTCATGTCTATTCTTGTTTGGGTTTTTCAGATTGCTTTGTTCTTTTTGTGAATTTCAGAGACTGACATTGACCAAAAACAATATTTTGTGGTCAGAAGGAGAGGGATAATGCTAAAATAAACACATGCTTATCAATGTTTATTGACTAACACCAAATCTTCCTAAGGCTAATTATGTATAATATATTGTGCACGTATTTTATGTTTTATTATAACCTCATTCTAGTTTTCAGACTGAGAGTGCTGGTTTCTGTCATTTCTATGTGGCTAAAACAATAACAAAATTGATGAACCAAGTCTTTAAAAATAGGAGATCTCTTACCAGGTTTGTGCTGTCACATTTAAGTCAAATCTTTTCTCCTGGAAAACAAGAGCATGTACTGTAATTTTTTAATTTTAATAAGACAGAAATTTCTTTTATCCCTTTCTGTCTTGGGGTCAGAGCTTGATTTATACCCCAGCAAGTCTGGCAATCACAAAGCTAAACGTCTGAGCTCTCGGCATATATTTCCAAAAGCATTCACTTACCCTTAGTGTAATATCCCTACCTACAAATCCCAAATCCCTCCAGGATGCAGAAACCATTAACAATCCTAGTATAGGAGGTTACCCAGACTCATGCAGAAGGTCCCATTTCATGTGTTACTCGTAAGCTTTTTGCAGCATCCCAAATTATCGTTTTTTGTGTGTTTCTTGTTCTTTATGTTTTAATACACAGCATATGTTTGACATCCTGGCCATAGTCTCACAGTGAAGAGATTGCAAGTCTGCATTTGCTTCTGCCAAGGCTTCATCCTGTCTTAAAATCATTATTGCAATCTTCATATTAACTGACAAAAAAGTGCTTTGTTCCGAGAATGTGTTTTAATGATCCTATTCAAGAATTATTCTCATTATGTTCTTTAAAATCCATGCTCTGCCTGATATTTTCAGTATATTTTAATATATTGTCATTTGAAGTACATGGTTGTCTAAGGGCAGGTTTATTGACATTTTCCTAGCTTGTGCTCAAGGAGCAGCTTTCAGTTTGGACCCTAGGCAAAAGAGCAATCAGTGAGTTTTTGGGTAAGCTGAGAGATGTACTGAACGAAGCATCTTATTTTCTGACATCCTTGTTGGTCTCCATATGCACTACTGGCACATAATGGAGAGTAGTAGAGTAGTAAAGAGTAGCCTCTGTGGAGAAAACATCTGGAGAAACAAAGCTCCTGTTTGTTCAAATTCCAAGAAAAAATCGGAATGCTCTTAGCAGCTACCTGGGACAACATTATGGGGAATGGTTTCTACTTGCATGACCTTTTATTCCCAACAGCTAGAAGTGATGCTTACCTCTGCAATGGTCGTTTTCCTTCCCATGGGCAGTGAATTCAGCATCACGACTGGGGAGCCCGTCTCTGTACTGAACTTACAGGACAACTGGAAAAACAACATGCTTTAGGACAAAACCAGTAATGAGTTTACCCTCTCTTCCCACTCCCACTTCCTTGAGAGACACTCATAATCACTCCATCACTGAGGCCACTCAAACTTACTGGGTGGTAGCGCCTCTTCTTTGGCAACATGACATCCAGTGTTGGCTCCGCATACTTGATGTAGTGGAACTTGGTGGGACATGATGGGTTGACCACTCCGTTGGGGCCCAGCGTGATATCCTGTGTCCCCTCAAAGGAGCCCTTCACAGTGAGGGAAAGTTCTTTCTCTAAAGTAGCAAAACAGGTTGTGAGAAATGTTAATATGATTTTACCAGAAAATTGTGCTGGCTTGATTAAAAGTGGGGTGCAGGTAGCAGAGCCGTAGAATTTGGACCAATTGGGAAGCCCTCTAAAGGGAATGCTGGCAGGACAGGGAAAGGAGCAAAGCAGATGTTATTTTCATAGAAAGGTGACTCTGAACGTTCTCACTGTGATATGGAACCAGTATTTCAACTTTAATGCAGATCTAATAGGCCTAATTGACATATATCTAGATGCAGTCACTGGAGTCTATAACAACTTAATGTGTTTACCTGGCATTAACTTCACTGAATGCTGTAAGTACTATTTATTCCACTAATACATTATATGAAAGGGGCATTTCCTTATCACTAAGCATGCAATTATTGGTAAATAGATAATAAAACAATAACTTTACTTGATTTTTGCTTCATCTTCTCTGCCACTTCAACTTCCAAGCAGCAAAGTTCACGACACTGTGAAAGACAGAGTGCAGGAATCTGTGAGAAAGATCACATCTCACTCTCATTATGGAGAGCTATGAATCCCTGAGCTTTTGGCCATGTCTAGTCACCTGAAATTCTTGATTTCCTGACATTTCTGGGCTTTTTTCCCATGAGCCACTAAGGAAACGGAAAAGCTTTGGAGGGAGATGTATGCATCCTCCAGTGACAAGGACACAGTGAGAGGAATTTACAAAGGAAGAAAATCAGGAGCATTTTCAGGATAGTAGCATAAATCCAATGGGTTAAACTGGGAAAAAAATGTAGAAGAAAGATGTGTTGCTGAGAGATCAAGAGTCAGTAGTAGAGGAAGGGCTTTCTGAAGAAGGATTGCTATTAATGTTTTGTGTTGGTTTCTTTTTTGTTTATGACACTCACTCTTCTTTAACATAATACAATTATGATCGGTTAATATTTAGTGCAGAATTTACCCACAGAGCTTGGTTCATCTGCAAGTGTAGGAAAGGGCAAGAGAGGTTGTCAATAAGTGGCTGCACAGCATTTTTACCATTGTTCTCTGATAGACAGCAGTACCTATTTTGAAGTACCGGCACAAGAGGAAAAGTCTGTGGTGTGTAGAAGTATACAATAAATAGGAAATAATGGAATATCACCAACAAACAGGTAAATTAAATACTCCATTCTCAAAGTATCTAAATAGGAAGAGGGAAGAAAGAAGAAGAAGGGGTTTCTCTAACCCCCACCCTGCCTTCCCCTTTATGTTCAGGAATCACTTAAGGAAAATATCTTAGGAAAGACACGTACCACCAGCACTCCGTTGGTAGCAATGGTTTCATGGGGACCAGAACTGAGAAACAAAATGAAAAACATGTATTTTTTAGATCAAACAAATTCCACTCATCCTTGCCCAGGATGTTGCCCTTTCTTCCCTCTTAGAAGAATGACAGAGGGATCCCAGTAGGTATGTAACAAGCAGGACCCCAGCAGGTGTGTAACAAGCTCCTTTCCATGCTTGCTTGGACTGACCACTGCTCTGAGGGGACTCATCTCTGTACCAAAGCTGAGCAATATGTATCATGGCTATCTTTTTGCAGTTCAATCTCATGATCACCAAACATGGAATCTGCAGTTAGGCAGTCAAATTCTTCTCATTATAACATGTAAAATAAATGTATTTCAGCTGTAACATGCTAATACACCAGCATATTCCTGATGGGAAACCAGTTATATGTATTTGCTGGTATGTAAATTATAGAATCATAGAATATACTGAGTTGGAAGGGACCCACAAGGATCACTGAGTCCAACTCCTGGCACTGCACTGCTCCAAGAATCCCACCATGTGCCTGAGTGCATTGTCCAAACACTTCTTGAATTCTGGCAGGCTTGGTGATGTGACCACTTCCTTGGGGAACTTGTTTCAAAGGGGCACAGGACAGCGGGTACCAATTATATGGGGGGGAAAAAAGCTTTCCAAATCATTCAGGTGAAGTCAGGAGATGGTGTGGAGTGACTTGACTTCTGGCCTTGGCTCTCTGCTAGTATGAGGGAGCCATGCCTTATTTATCTTGTTGTAACACAGAGACAAAAATACTCATTCAAATGGATGGCAGGCTGACCATGCTGGAGGAAGGGCCTTACACTAGAGTTTCCAACACATTGTCATTATGTTGGGCAGAAAGAAAACAGAATTACTAGGTCCCAAACAGTGCTGCAAGGGAAAATTGAAGGAATCAGAGATACACTGGAAACCTAACCGGAATGGTTCAACACTAAGAGTCTGTACTATACATAACCTGAAACAGGTAAAGAAAAATTGATAGACATTAATGCTCACACACTCAGAAAGCATTCTGTCCACAGGTAGACAAATCAAAAAATTATAGAATGGTTTGGGTTGGAAGAGACCTTAAATATCACATAGTACCAACCGCCCTGCCATGGGCAGGGACACCCACTAGACCAGGTTGCTCAAAGTTCCATCCAGCCTGGCCTTGAACACTTCTAGAGACAGGACATCCACAACCTCTCTGCGTAACTGGTAGGTGTGTCTTTGAAAGCAGCTAAGCTACAGAACAAGCTAATCAGTCAGTTGTTGGGGACTGCAGTAATGATGTAGGAGAAGGGTGGCACATTTTTACAGAAATACCACAAAGCATGACTTCTAACACTGTTTCTTTATCATATAATGATTTTTGCATTTTTAAAATAATATCTATATCACTTACGCGGGCTCCAATTTGAATTCAACCTCTAGCTCCTCCTTTGCCTGAAAGCAAGAACAAGATATTAAATGAAATAGCTACATATTGTTTTTCCTTTGTCTAAACCCAGGTCCCTGATGGGCAATATTGAAGTGATTGGTTGCAGTGCATAGCCTCTGATATATATTTCAGACTGAGTGGTCTGAATCAACATTTCAGCCAGATAGTTTAAGGATTCCTTCCTCACCTCCTTCCTTCCTTGAGGCATCATCAAAACAACCTGTAGTTCTATTTCTTAGTGTGAAGCTGCTGCAGAAAGACAATTTGTAGCTTCCTTTATATTCTGAATTCTATCTTTTTCTGCCAACTATTCCTGGCACTGTCCTGCCATGACTTACTGTACTTGCTATTATCTTGGAAATTTAAGATATTTTACACCCATCACTTTAACCTAATAAACAGAGACTGGTAATAGTGAGTGATTCAGAGTTAGTGTTGTGTAACCTCCCATAAGGCAGTGTTGAACTGCATGAGTTGGTTGTGAATGACCTAGATTGGTTACTGGAAGCAATTTGTACATGGTAGCAAGAAGTTACATGCGAAATATTTTGCTTATCTCATCCTTAGATCTCAAAGGGAATCAAGATTCTTTTCCCCATTTTATAGATGGTAAACTGAGAAACAGAGTGAATCAGCCTTTCAGTGTGGGATGCACAGCATGGCAACTTCATCTTTGCTTTTTGGGGTGAAAGTAGATACAAGAAAAGGGGCAGTGGTACTGATTATGAATTACATGGGGAAAAAAATTACAGATTATTCAGCCTTCAACAGTTGCATAGCCTTGGTCTTGCTCAGAGGTAGCTCACAGTAACAGCTCCCCTACCTACCACACTGTTTCAGTCTTATGGTCTTTAATAATTTATAAAAATATTTGGAAGAGTGTCTCAGGCTCTCATTTTTTACAACGTTTTTTGTGCTTATATTTTGAATGGCAATTCAAGTACTCATTATTGGGATAAGTCATCTATGGCAGGTTCAGAAATATTTTTAAGTGTTGTAAAAGTCTCCACTGGTTTCTTGATTGCTTTAGTTGTTTAATTGCTCTCACATTTGGGCTAGGCTTAAAGTACAGGACCACCGTTCTTTCAATCGGAAGTTTAGCTGTATCAAAGAGTGCACAGAGGAGATGGTCATCTGGAGTAGCAAAATCCTCATCATACACTGTCAGCTCCAGCACATTCTGGAAAAAGAGAGAGAAGGTTTTTTTATAGTTTCTACAGTCTGGACATCATTGGCTCTAGGTAAGAAATATTGTTGAGGATGTTCTTGAGAAGAAAGTTAAGAAATTAAGTATCATCCTCCTTTGCAAAAGTGTACTTTAAGTAGAATATTCATTCTTGCCTGGTTCATTTTAATTGCTGTACCATACTATATTGGCTATAGCTCTAAAACAACTTAGTTAACTCCTGGATTCTGAATCTATCTTGCTCTGACTCATACAAGTCTCTGGTTTCCCTAAAACTTCAGTACTGAGCTCAGTTTCTGGCCCTCCTGAGCAGAAGCATCAATCAGACATAAGAATTTGGTTATCTCTGCTGTTATACAGTTTGAAAAGTCCTTTATCATGAGTCATCCCTTAAACAATTCCTGGGAACAGTTTAGAGCATAGATACACAAAGTCTTCAGGTTGCATCAGGCAGATGACTTTAGATCCTTACCTTGACCTGACTCTGGATTCGGAAGTAGAAGGTTTCATTCCACACTGGATTGTTGGAGTTTCTCACAGTTTTAGTGCGTGACTTTTCACATGTCGCAGTTGGCAGCCACAATGAGACATAGCAATCAGCCTGGCTTACTGGATAGGGAAGAGACAAAATAGTTGGGAATGTGGCTAAGTCGGAAGTGCTGCTTGACACTGGAAAGGTTACTCTATGGTACCAACAACAAGAAAAAGTTATTTAAAGACAAAAATGCCTGTTATAACGTCACTCTTTTCAAGATTTCCTTCTGTAATGGAAAAAGTACAGACCATAAGATGACCTAGAACAGAAGGTGCTTTCTATTCTTCCTTGCGTGAGTTGCAGACAATGGTGATATTGTATATAAAAGAAAAGGGTGAGAATTTCCTCTTCTAGTCAGCCATTTCAGTTTCTCAGCCAACAAGATTTCCTGTACTCACATGTGCATGCACACACACTCCACTGCTGTCTGATAATAGGGGCCTGGGACCCTCCTCCACCTTTTGAGAGCAACTGCAAAAAGTCTCCATCTCTGCTTTGCCTCCAGTCATTTTCTTGGTGAGGGTTTGTGAAAGCAGCTGCAGAACCACCGCTGCTCTATGAGATGTCAGAGGCTTCCTCCAGAAGGAGCTCATTGAATTAGGCATTATATGGTAAATAATTGCCACGTGCAGGAAGAGAGGGACTCTCCCAAAATGCACTGATAGAGGGTTAATAAAGGATTTTACATCCCATTTCTCAAAGGCACCTAAATTAAGGTATATCTCAAACAGGTCTAGCCAAAAATGCCATGTACTCTGTGCTGGGGGAATGCAATGTTTCTTCATACAGGCTATGCAAAGTACTTCAGTGCCTTGAAAACCTCTCTTACACCGTTCTTAACAGTAATTAACGTGAAAATAAAAAAGATGATGATGATTAAGATGATGAAAAAATTATCAGATTCAAGTTGTGGAGAAATCAATATATTCCTACATAGTCAAAAAAATATTCCTCTGACGGAAAAGTTTGTTTCCAAAATATTCAGTAAGTGCTAGCCTTCTCCCTCTCCTGCCCTTTTCCACATTCCGTATCTTATTTTGGATTAAAAAAAAAAGGTTCTGACAGCAGTTTCACTTTACTTGTCTAGAGTCATATTATCTGCTTTAGTTCTACCTTCCCACCACTTTTATCTCTTGGTCTCCTTCCCTCTACTTTCTTCCTGATTGTATTAATTGAGCAGACATTTCACCTCCAGTATTCAGGTTTCCTCCTCTCCTCTTCCCCCCCCCTCATCTCCCCTCTCTTCCCCTTTCTTCTCTTCCCCTCCCTTCTCCTCCCCTCCAAACCAAGTCCCAAAAGGAAGGGAAAAGCTGCCTTCCTGCTGTGTTCAAGCCCACAGGTAGAAACAACAGAAATTGCCCCAATAGCATTTGTTATCCCTCACACAGATTGTATGGTGTGCTTTGCAGACTGATTACCTGAGAATCGTGATTCCCAGGCGTGTCTTTTCACTTCAGACACCCATGCCCACTTTGCACATAGGTCTGGGAGACACAGCCACGTTTTACCACTGCTGTGGTACAGATAAACAACAAGCAGCATCAAAAGGCCCACATTTTAAGAAGAAGGAGGTGAAAGTCCTTGAATGCATTCAGAGGAGGGCAACAAAGCTGGTGAATGGGCTGGAATGAATGTCCTGTGAGGAGCAGCTGAGGACTTGGGGATTGTCTAGTTTGGTGAAAAGGAGGTTGAGGAATGACTTCATTGCTTTCTACAGCTTTCTGCAGAGGGGACACAGAGAGGGAGGTGCTGAGCTCTTCTCCCTGGGGTCCAGGGGCAGGGTGTATGGGAATGGTCAAAAGCGGCACCAGGGGAGGTTTAGACTGGACATTAGGAAGCATTTCTTTACTGAGAGGGTGGTCAAACACCGCAGCAGGCTTCCTAGAGGGGTGGTCAATGTTCCAAGCCTGTCAGTGTTGAAGATGTATTTTGACAATGCCTCTAGTAATATGCTTTAATTTGGTCAGCCCTGAATTGGTCAGGCAGTTTGATTAGGTGATTGTTGTAGATTCCTTTCAACTGAAATAGTCTCTTCTATTCACAACAGCAAAGAAACAGTGCAATGCACAGGTGATGCATGTTGCTACAGGTTACCAGCAGGAGACTGCTAACATTGAAAACATGGTCTGCTTATACCAAACATCTCCCCAGTAAGGGTAGGTTTAGACAGCCTGACAAGTCTGGCTGCCTTACATAGTTTGCCTTGTTTAGGCACACCAGAAAGAGGAACACAGAGTCTCACTTGCACCTTCTCCCTGCAAAGGAAGTTACTTGCCTTTATGTCATTTATAGACCGAGTTGATTTAAGAACAGCATTTAAGGCTGCCCTCCTTCTGTCTTAAGAAAGCACTTGTAACTGCCTGCTACTTGTGAAATTCCAAAATTAAGTCTACACATTTCCAGGAAGCATGTCTCTCTCAAACTGGGAAGTCTCATTTGGAAGTGTTTAGCTTTTATCCAGAGATGAGACAGAAGAAAAAGAATGAGGCCTTTTCACATTTAAAAAGAAATTCTTAATCACTTCACTGCCAGGTAATAGCCCTTGTACACCTTGCTCCAGAGAAGAAAAAAAGGTAATTATAGAGCAGTACTGCACCTGATCCACCCTCCATCTTTCAGGGAGATCCTTACTTTGGTATTTCCAAACAAGAGTTTGCATTTTGAATACCATGTTTAATAACCCTTGCTAGACTTATGTTCCATGAATAATTTCTTGTTGAACATATATATTTTAACATCCACACATTCCTGTGGAGGTAAGTTCCATAGTTTCCTTGTATGTTATTTTAAACTGGCTGTTTGATACTTTCATGAGCGCTCACATTTATTCTCACATTGTGAAAAACAGGGAAAGATTGCTCCTTATTCACCTTCTTTCCCTATTTCTTTTTGAAGAAACAGCTCCCATGACCGCCTAAATAATTTTGCTTCTAGTCTTTAGGACTGTAGCCTACTTAGTCCCTCTGGATGTAAAAGTTGTTTCAGATCTGTCGTTGTATTTGGTCCCTTTCTACAGCTCCTTTTGTTACTCTATTTCCTCAAGTGTTTTTATTTATTTTTTTCAACCTGTGAAATTCCATGCAGATAACAATGCTTTGAAGAAATTTGAAACTGCAAAAATAGGTATTGGAATGTATTTGGAGAACCTAGAAGTAATGCTACTAATTTTAAAATGCATTAAAAGTAATTTTGTATAACTACCATGACTTTAGATTTATCCTTGGAGATCAATGACTGTTGCCTGCTTGGCTGGCAAAGCACTCTGTTCTACTGGTGTGATTCATCTGCTGCATCTTAATTGTACTTTGAGATACAGAGCATATCAAGCAATCCTTAATTATATGAGTAGATGCAGCCAAACTAGTCAGCTGTGTATTTAATGCAATATTGCCTCAGTTCTGCTTGCTCAATCTCTTTCTACAACCTTATTATTTGTCTTGTTGCCTGACACACAGAAGATGAGATCTTGAAGAGACCTTTCTGTGCTGTCGCTTCATCACACATGTCCCACCGCCATGGACAAGGAGGGAGGTGCAGAGACTGTGACCCAGTGATATGACCTCAGATACAGCTGATATCTCTCTTACTCGAAGCTGTGACATGGGGAAGTCCTCTGATGCATCTTTCAGAAAAACATGTGATAATCACAGGGTAAGATGGGAATGGTACTGCATAGTAAATCCGGACCTTCATCTTTCAGAAAATCTTCCTTGATTTTTCCTGTGCAAGAGACTATGGAACCAATTATTGCTGCTTACAGTGAAACAGGAGAAACAAAAGGATCAAGAGATAATTTCAGCATCCTTTCATCCAGGTGGTCACATAGTTGTATTCACTCAAACAAAACAAACAGTTAATTTGTCTATTTTGTGTAAAACCCCTCTCCGCGCAAGAGGATAGTCCATGTTCTTCAGTGGTGTTTTCCTTTCCTGCTTACTCACTTCCCACCACTTTCCTGCCATGTGACTCACAGTCTTGCTCAACTGCGAGGCTGCTGTATTAGTGTTAGAAGGAACAAAGCATCCAGGTCTCAGTCAGCACAGTTTGTTTGACTGTCATTTCAGGGTAATTAATAATGGCTTAGCCTGGTGGTAATGATTGTAGAAACCTTCTTTCTGTTCATTTCATCTTTGTCAGAACCAAGATTGAGGGGGATGAAAAGATTTTCTCCTTCCAGACACATTTCCCAAGGTGCTACAAAGCATTACCAGAATCACCTCTTGTTTTTGAAAACACACAGCGTGCTCTTTTTCATCTACCTGTAGCAGAAACTCTCCTTTCTTTGAGAGAAAGTACTTATCCTCAGAAAGACATTCAAATCTTGAAACCAGTCAGAAAGCAGACATAACACTCAAAAAGACAGCAGCAAGCAGCACAGACTGACTGGTTTGTAACAATTTGTTTACATAAACAGTAGGTTATTTCAGAAACAATAAGAAAAGGTTGCTATACAATTATAAAAAATATTATGTTGCCTGTATCCCAAGACACCACTAAGAATGGAGATACTTACAGGCATCCACTCGCTGGAGATTTCTCATCCGGATGATCCTTACGGTCAACAGGTAGCAGGGAGAGGATTCTATCTGTAGAAGAACAGTACAAAATGGAGTCTGAATAAGCCTTTGGTAGGAAAAAAGTTTCAAAAGTGCAAACTAACCGGATGCTACAATAATACAGTTAGTAAAATTTGGGTTTAGCATTTCACTATTCTGCAGAAGAAAATCTGCAACATAAGCTTCTGCTGTTAAAGAAATCAACATTTTTTATATTTCACTGTCTTTTTGCTTTGTTGTTTTGAGTGTGTATTGCTCATCAGAGCAGAAAAGAAAGGGATAAATCACTGAAAACTCATACAGCCTGTGAGATGCTTGCAAAACCTCTTGCTCTGAAACTGCTGAGTTTAGCTCCACAACATAGCTACAGTAAGTCTCCTGAACAGAGTAAATGCACTGGTAAGAACCATGGTGGAGTTGTCAAAATACTGTCAGTCTTACTCAAAGTTACAGTCAATCCTCTTAGTAACCACCCATGAGGTGCCATCGCATAGAAAAAAGTCCTGTGGAGAATATCTGTTGTCCTGGACTTCCATGGGATAAACCTGAAGTACCAGTCTTTAAGAGGTGCTTTTGCCTTCTGCTTCAAAAACATAGATTTCTTTGTTTTTCCATTTACAGTTGTAGGAGAAAATGAGTAACAATAATCTGAGCTTTTGTAAATCATAACTGTGAGATAAACCAATGGCTGAAAATCGTTTCCAGAGGATTTAGAGGGCAAAGAGTTAGGTACGGGTTGCCGTTGGGGAAAAATAAAAAACACTACCTTCCTCCAAAAAATCTTGAAGATTGAAAGTGCCTAAGTTCCTTTGTTCCCTTTGAATGTCTCAACCTTAATCTTCTATAAAACAAGTCTCTCAAAATTTTGTGATTGCAGAGATCTCTTCCTATTTATTATTGGAAGATAAATGTGATTTCCTTCTTCTAAGGAATGCGATTTCCTGCTGGCTCGTTACATAAACCTGTCTCTAGCTCAGACTTATCTGCAAAAGGCTTTTCTGACCAAGGCAATAAATAAATCAGCATTTCCCGTGGCTGTGACACACAGTCATTTCCTCACACTCCTAGAAACATTTCCACCTGCATAAGTGGTTACAACAGTCCTCCAAATCATTCTTTTTGACAACTGTTATTTTTAACAACTGATTTCCTCTCATTTAGGAGCATCCTTCTATTTCTACAGCGCTTCAGAGACTTCCTATAATGACTATAAACAAGCTGACAAAATAGATGTTAAGGCAGATAAAGATGGAAGAACCTCACTTAAAACAATATAAGTAATGTGGCCAATTTTTTTTCAAGAGAACAGAGCAAAAGGGCCTTATTTTCAGATGGAAAGACAATTATGCCTCCTTTGTGACAAAAAATTACTTTTTCAGTGTGTAATTAAAATCCTCTCTTCTCTCTAACACGTCATGTTATGCTAAAATTTCTTCGCTGAGCTCTTGAAAAGCATTCCTGCTTCTACCCATCTTATATGTGCCTCAACAGTTCTTTGGGTTTTTTTCCTTTTTCAGTGCTTCTTTATGATTCAAACTAAGAAATCCATCCACTTTTTATTTCAAGTGTTCTCAAAGGAGAAAAAGCCTAACAGAAGCTGCAAAATTTGCAAACTACTGATGAAAGGGTATGTCCTCAGAGCTACCCCATACAAGGACACTGGTTCACATTTCAGATACAGTATAGCCAATATAATACAGTTCTACACCCGGTTATTAACCCTTCTTCTCAGCTGGGTAATTAGCAAAAGTGGATCACCACACTCACATGTTAGGAATGAGCTTGGGCACCTCAGCATATGTCCTAGAAGGGACAAACTCATTGTTTCTTAGGATCTGAATAAGCACAGGGGAAATTCTTGCAGGTATTTATCTCTAGGGATTGCGCAAGGTGCTGCCAGCTCCTGGATCAGCTCCAGATATGCTTCCTCTGACAAGTGGCATTGCTTGAGTGAGAATCAATGAATTCAATATTTGCAAAGCAGTTTGAGATTCTTCGATAGGAGAAAAGGTGGGGGTTTTAAATGATTTTTACATGGTTTCTGCCATCTGATCACCTTCCTCCTAGTTCCCATGTAATGACTTTCTAATATGTTAGCCAGAGTTCCCCATCTGCCATGGGGAAATAAATTCTCAGAGATGCGGGTTTCACAAAAAGACTTGTTGAAATTTCACCAAAAAAAAAATAAATCAGTGGCTTAAATCTACAGAAATCAGGACCTGTGCTTGCACTAGGGGACAAGTACATGCCACCAGCCAGTTACCTGAGGAAAAGGCAGCAGCCAGGCAGCAGCTGTCCTGGCAGTCCTCGCATGTGCCAGTGGGAGTAGCAAAGACAACCGGGAGAGTAGAAATCACCTGGTGATCAGGCCTTGCTAGTTATTCTGCTCCCAGGAGGATTTGCTATTTTAATTAATTCCAGTAACATCTTAAACAAAAGAAATGTATTTAAATAGCAACTGTGACAAGCATAACATGATGTACTAGGATCTAGTTATAGAGACAAAGAAAATAGCAGTCGTATTTATGAAACAAAAGACAGAAGTTCTGTTATTCTGTTTACTTAACTTGTATTATGATCACTTAAAAAAAAAAAAGAAAAAAAGGCTGCTGTTGTACAATGGTATTCCACATATGGAGAGGTTTCCACCACAGCCTTTAATGGTGCTAGTCTCCAAGCAGCATCCTGCCCTCATGTGTAGTGACATACTAAAGCCATTTAGCACTGTCACATAGCAAGTTTGCTTTTCATGACTCATGTAGTCACCCTGTGACTGTTTCACTGATTCTCAATTTGTCAGCTTGTCCTCAGTTTTGTGCTTTCCAAACTGTGCTCATGTGTGTATAGCACAGCTGCACGCAGTAGAGCACTGTGCTATGCCAGTGCATGAGCAGGGTAGGCATTGTTAGTTTCTCTGAACCCCCAGGGAAATTAAGTTTTACTAGGATTTTGCAAACAGCAGCTCCAACTGACCTCGTAGTCTCCAGAGCAGACTTCCTGATCTCTTCTTCCTATTTTTCAGTGCTTCTTGTAAAAAACAAATCACTATATTGGTAAGGGATTCCTCGGTCATGTGAATTATTCCAGCTTTCTTCCACCAGATGAGTAAGAATTTGAGAACAGAATTTCTCTGTCATGAGCACTCTGGTGATGCAGGCTGTCTGCATTCCTGGCAGATTTGTGCCTCCATAGGTCTCTCTCAGCCCTCTTTAAAGTCATGCTTATATTAAGATGTAGGTATGTGTGGCATGCATCCATCTTCAGAGCCACTGCTGTAAATTACTCCACTAGTTTAGCTGTATAATATATCCTGTCACATCACAAGTGGCTTTAGAGCTCTGAAATGGCAGTACTCCTTATTGAGGCAATAGTTTATGAGACCAGAGAAAGGCTATACTTCTTCACCATTTTTTACTTGCTTTTCTCTCAGTACTTTTCTTGATTCAGCCTTTAGGGTTCTTCATCTAACAGACTCTTGAACCCTCAGATTCAGCCAACACATTCTCAGACTTGACTGTTGCTTTTAGATTGGCATTTATTTCAAAGCAATCATAAACTAGCAAAAAACAAAATAATGCAGATCATGGAATTCGTATTCAATTTGTGTGTGTGAAAACCGTATCATCATCAAAAAGCATCCAAGCAGGTGCTTTTCTACATGAAATGTGGAATGTCTTCCATCTGGTCTCATGAGTGGGTGGCCTTTGTCATGCTTGGGGAAAAATGGTGATGAGGAAGCAGAGAAAACTATGTGCCACAGTGTGCTGGTACTATTACCTATTTAAGTGCCACTGCACCACACACTACCCCACAAACCACCCTGCAAAGATCAGACAAGATTTAAAAATATCTTCAGTACAATTAGTTTACTTTTACAATGGCTGAAAAAGGCCATTTCTACAGACCAACCTGAAACAATGTGTGTTAGCTACGTAAATCACGAAAAGAACTTCCTCTCTATCCACACATTCCCGGCAATCACTGAGTAATAATGCCTCTATCTGTTTCTATGTGATCTACTAGCACAGCAACCTTTCCTGGCAAAGATAGTTCCTTGCCTTGACTAAGGTACCGCTGCATTCCTGGCCCTGAGCAGCATTCTGTTGAGATGAAATCACTCCCAGGATGTTACAGGACACTCCTTTTTTCATCTCCAGGTGCTAACTTAACTAGATGGTAGCCAGGGACCAAATCAAAAGAATGAAAATACTTCACTGCTGATGGTGCTAGAGCTGGTATCTTGAGCTGACTGAGAGTCAAGTCTCCTTAAAGAGTGTGCATCCTTAAGTTTTTTACAGTTGCAGGTGAAATGCTGCAGGCTGTGAACATCACTCAGCCAAGCCCTTCCCCAGCCTGCCAGAACCTATCTCCCACTGTTGTCGGATGTCCCAGGGGTCCCCTGTGGCATGCTGCCCAGGCTGAGCGTGGTTGGCTGCTGCATTTGGCCACGTCTCTTCCTTGTTCTTGACAGTCTCAGACTCCACAATTGCAAAGCAGATGCTCTAATTGCTTCCTTCCTTCACCTCCTCCAGGCACTGGGGCTGGGCATCTCAACAGAGGGCTGTGGGGCTGTGTGGGTGCTGGGAGTGCTGATGATCACTGCTGCCACAGTGGTAGTTTTCACAAGTTGTGTGTTTCCTGGTTTTTATTAATAATATATCTTCTAATAAGACCACCTTTTCACCAGAATTATAGGAAGTCTGGGTTGGATATTGGTGAACTAAAAACTCCCACATCTGGACAGAAAAGCCCCTTTCATGCATACAGCCACAGTAATCCTGATTGTAGCAGGGAAAATTTATCTGTGTTCACAGGAGCATGACAGGCGTATGCAAGGTCACAAGAATTTTTTTCAATTATGGATCGACACAACATGAATACTCTCAGGGCACAGTGATCCCATCAATGCAGAGATTTGAAATTAATTTATTTCTATTTAACAAATAAACAAATTATGTATTTATTATTTCTATTACTTAGTATATAAATCTGCAGAGATTTATGATTTGATTGATAATTCAGGCTAGCTGCATAGCTGTTTCAGTACTGTCAACATTGCCTTCCATCTTTTAGTGTTTACAGATGTTTAATAATCAGACTTTTTCAGGTTTTGAAAAATAGGTCTATTTAAAAACTTAGAGCATTCATCTGCATGTTCAAAATTATTTCCATATATAGAACTGTAGCCAGGGGAATATGATAGTCCATCTTAAAAAAAAAACAGTGCCCTTTTATAGTGCTTTGCCCTTCCCAAGCAGAACAAACCCAAGAGAAAGAAATTAGACTGAGCATTAACCATCTGAGGATTGAGATTCTTTACACCTAATTCCAGATAGCTTTAAAATAAGTGTTTACATCTGACACCTGTTGAGCATTTCTGGATTCTCATCCTAGGGTAAACATTACCACAGGACATGAGTCGTATTCTGAAAATGTCTATTTCAGAGAATCACCCTACTGATTCTCAAGGGTGTATAGAGGTCTATCTAAGACTCAGATGTTCTTAATTTTTTATGTCAAACCATATTTCAAACTTATGAGCTGATGGAAGTGGCCTCATTTGACTTTATGAGGTTCATTTTTTAAGTGGGAGGTGTACTGGAACATGTAATTTCAGTAGTCTGTATTTTAGGCATCTCCATACCACCACTCAGGGTGGCAGGAGAGGCACCTGGGCTCAGAACAACTTCTGCAGCTGAGCAGAGCTGCCACTGGTGTCATGTTCCTGCAAGCACCATGGGGCTGGGAGTAGCTCAGGAGATGTTGACTCTTTTCTTCCTAGTTGCTGTTGAGCTTGGAGCTGGAACTGCTCCTGACCAGAGGCTCTTGTCCTTGTGGGACCCAAGGAGCCCATGCCTGGCGCCAGCAGGGACCCAGCCCTCCTGCCTGCCTCAGCCCCTGGTTCACATTACAGAGTCTGACCTGTAGTAGAAGCAAATGTCAAAACTTGCTCCTAAACTTGCTATGCAACATGGCAGCTCCTCATTCTTCTCATGATCTCAATAACTACTTCCAGCTTCCAAAACCCAGCAGAAGCCAGAACTCCTACTTTGTACAAGGGTGAGAGCTTAACCTGCCCCTCTTCTGTTAATGGGCTGCTGTTCTCCCAGCTGCACAAACCCTGCAAAAACAAGGAGCCCTTGCCTGGCAGGGACATGAGGTATGACTTGACCTGAGATGCAGTGCATCTTACTCTTGTTAAAACATGGCTTATGCTGAATTCAGAACTAGGTATCCAATTGTTCCCCTTACCTTCCCTCACATGCCTTATTATATGAGACCTCCTGCAATCCTTATGTATTTTAATATAAACACTGATTTTGGATATACCAGAGCTGGCCTTGCCTGCTGCTTTTATCATGGGGCAAAGTACCAGCCAAGGCCCGAATAATTCAGATTTCTTAATGTAGATAAAAATCAGCATGTTGGCAGAAAGGCACATGGAGTTGCTGGAATATGTTGTCATACATTTCTAACAGGCAATCCCTTTTAGCAGGCAGAGACCTTCATATTTAAGTCTTCTAGAAGTTTCAGTGATGAAAAATTTGCATTTGAGAAAAACAGAGCAGAAAAGTGTGTATGTGTTCTTCACATGAACATATGATACATTGCAGTAATCAAGTAATGATCATGCATGTGCATAGGATAGATCCCAATATTCTGCTCAAGGATGAAAACACAAGGTCTCTGTAACCAGATGCAAGAACAACAATTCAGTCCCTCACCAATGCATTCTCATGAATTTTTGGGATTTTGAAATGGAAAAACTAATCTGACAGTGTGAGACAGGGGCAATATAGTGGTCCAGAAGAATGTTATGGTCCCACACTCATCAGAAGATTCTTTTGGTCCACTACTGTCACCCCTGCCCCCTCGAAATTTCATGACCCTTAAATGTCTTTGATCTAAATCTATATCCTGAGCACATAATGGAAAAACAAACACATTGCTGTGTGGGATTAAGAAATGGAGACAAGAAGTTACTTGTCATAAGTATAATTATGATAAATAATTATAACCCAGGAGTTCAAAACTTTTTTCTTTCTCTCATCATGATTTTAGGTTCCTTACCCCTTGTAAGGAGCAGACATTAAACCAAAAACTGATCAATAATTTTTTTTCAGTTTTTACTGCCTACAAAATTCTTCATCCTATACGTGGTCCAGAATTTCAGTATCCTACCAAGCTGAAGATACCAGATATCGTAACCTAAATACTTGCAGGATGAAATGCCACAAAGACCCCAGACTAATAGAGTATATCCTGTGAAAATACAGTATAATCTTTTAGTAACAGTGGTTTTTATTTTATTAATAATAATCCTAATATTGGGCAAACACAAAAGCTAAACTTTGAAACGTGCACATGAAAAAACCAAAAATACTGTGAATATGAATTCGTTTAAATTTCTTGGTGCCTGAATTCTACCAGGACTACCTGGTAAGCAACTTATCACAAAGCTCACGTCTGCCTGTTCACACTATTACTTCAGTTTTCAGATAAAGCTCCTTTTCATCTTGATTTTGGCTCAGCAGAACTTGTCTGCATGAATTATAGTTCAAATTGCACAGAATTATCTGCTTCGGAAGCAGATATTTTGTGGGACAACATTGTAATACCAATCACACTTAAACTTCTCTGATCTTGACATATAGGAAACAAAGCTTATATTTACTGCACAAACAACAAAGTAGCAGAATGAGAACCCCAATCAAAATCAGTAATGTCTAACAAAAATAAATCTATGACTGATACTCGAGCACAAGAAATAGCCCTACCACATTCAAGCATCATTCCTTTTACAGAATCACTTGTTAGTTTTTTCCTGATGGAGCAAGGAAGTGCTGAAGCCTTTACAGCAGAACATGCATCACAGTTACTTTTTACTCTTTCAATTACAAAACATATTGTGGAACAGAAAGCTTATCAATGGATTTCTTTTACAAGTAACTGAGGGATTAAGTAGTAGATATTCTGCCTGCTCCAAATAAAATGTAACAGAGAAATACAACAAGTAATTATGAAAACTGAGCCACCTGGTCTGGTTGAAGGTGTCCCTGCTCATTGCAGGGATTTGGAACTACATGACCTTTAAAGGTCCCTTTCAACCCAAGCCATTCTATGATTCTATGAAAATCATAAATATAAGTAGAATAAAATGATACAACTATAGACTTAAGGGTGTTTCGCTTGTAACACACAAACTACTGTCATCATTATTTGTCTACCTGAGCCTTTTCCCCATTTGGTTCTAAATTCTCTTTTTTATAATACCTTGAAATCACCTTTGTCTGGCACAGAAGTTTCATCTTTCTGTTCTTGAGGTCCACCATCTCTCAAAGAACCGAAGTCTGAGTCTTCATCCTGAAGAAAGAAAGAAATTATAAGCAATAGCGTTAAAACAACAGCAGAAGTATTATCAGGGTAGATAATTAATTTCTACTTGCAATAATTTATGCTGAAACCTCGATTAGAACACCTGTTGGTTACACCCAGTTGAGTTACTGCTCTCAGATTAATGAACAAACCACCACATAGTTTGGCACACACTGGCACAAAATCTGTATCAGGGGTACCCTTTCAACAAGTCAATGAAGGAAGAGCCATCACAGCTGTGAGATAACCTAAACGTGTCTCTGTAATTATTCTGTGAATAAAGGTTTGCTTTTTGTTTCGAATATTATCTTTTGGCAATCTGCTCCTGCTCTTAGCTGTGTTAAACCTCAGTTTGAAATATCCCAGAACATATTCTCTGGGTTCAAACACAGAGTGTGAAACTTGTTGCAGTTGCAAAATTTTAAATTTAATGTTTCTGTTTTTTTCAGGAAATGAAAGTTCAAAAATAATTCTACAGTGTAGGGTGCCTCCTTTTGAAACACTTTGTAGAACACTATTAAAGGACAGTTCCTACCAAAAAATTTTGAAAATATTCTGTTTCTGTTTCCAGAGTACTTCCTGAAGTGATGTGCCTCCATTCAGTCAGGGAGCAAACAGAACAATGCATAATGTACTACTAGTTTAAACTAAAGGCAGATCTTGAAATGATGAAGAGAATGCAAAGCAAAATGGAAAAGTCAGAACTAAAAAGGGAATGTGTAAATAAAATTCAGTTCTCTATTCCTGGTCTCTATCCTGTCCTTATCCCATTTTTAATAACAAAAAATATGGGTTGGAGACATTATTATACATGTAAAAATTTTGTTATTGATACACAAATATGAAGTTTTTAATAAAAGTAGCATTCAATTACAAAAGAAAAAAGGCATTTTAAGTCTGGGTCTGGGTTCAGGCTGGTAATTCAGCCCCTAAAGAATGTTTCCTTCCCTGTTCATTTTTTCCACTTTCTCATCTTTTAATGTCCCCTTAAGACCCTGACTTCTCTCATTTTTTCTATGAAGATGAGTTTTTTGGTTCCTGTGGATTCAGGAGGACTTTTGCCGCTGAGAGCCTTTCAGGGAATATTTCACCTTAAATTCCTTAAGGCAGAGACATTGCTGCCTAGTCCCATCAGACAGCAACTTTGTACACTAGTTTGAATACAAACATGCTCACAAAGCAGGATTTTGTTTTCTGTCAAATGCAGAGGACCTGAAGCAAATTTTTGAAGCCATTTTCTTACCTCTAGTCCTTTTGTCTTTGATGACATCATGGTCTTCCCTGGATTCATGTAATAGAGTGTTTCTGGCACCTCTATGGGCAGCAATTCTTGGGACACATTTTCAGCATTTACTTCTGGCACCTCTACAGGTAGGAATTCTTTAGACAAGTTTTCAGGATTTACTTCTGTCACCTCTACGGATAGGAATTCTTTAGACATATTTTCAGGATATACTCCTGGCATCTCCATAGGCAGCAGTTCTAGGGACATCTTTTCAGGATATACTCCTGATATCTCCATAGGCAGTAGTTCTAGAGATGCCTTTTCAGGATATACTCCTGGCAACTCCAAGGGCAGCGGTTCTAGAGATGTCTTTTCAGAATATACTCCTGGCAACTCCACGGGCAGCGGTTCTAGAGATGTCTTTTCAGGATATACTCCTGGCAACTCCATGGGCAGCGGTTCTAGAGACGTCTTTTCAGGATATACCCCTGGCAACTCCATGGGCAGCGGTTCTACAGACATCTTTTCGGGATATACTCCTGGCAACTCCATGGGCAGCGGTTCTAGAGACAGGTTTTCAGGATCTACTCCTGGCACCTCCACAGGCAGCACTTCCCAAGACATGTTTGCAGGATGTACTCCTGTGGGAGTCAATGACAAGTTATTTTATAAAATGACCTGAGGCCCCACCCATCTCATCTCTATAAGTAAAGGACTCCCCTCCCACTGCCGAAGACAGTGGAGTGCCAAGGATAGACTGCTCCAGGGAAGGACCTTGCAGCACAAGCACAACAGCCAAAAGGAACATGGTATCTTCCTCTGGCTGGGAACCTCTCCCAACCTGTGCCTGCCCCATGGGTCCTGCACTGCTGCCATCCTTTTGCTGTGGTTAGCAGAGTCATGGGCTGTCCTGCCAAGCAGGGGAGAAGCACAGAGAGCACCACCTCTGAGACCTGCTCCTTCAAAGCCATTTCTTCCCCACTGTGGCGTAGGGACTGTCCTGAGCAGAGACAGCTCCTGTATGGGGGACATTGAACCCTGAAAAAGGCCTCTGAGTGTAAATAGCTACCACTGACTTACCTGTGTGCAGGCACACGCCTGTGCACTTTAGTCAAACCTCCCCATAGGTGGGGGGACCTGAAAAGAGATCCTGCTGCCTGGAAAGAGGCATTGCCCTCTGCCACACAGTAACCCCCTGGAAGAGGGCCACCCCCACTGCCTGACAGATCACTGCATGGACCTGCACCTCCCAGCTCCTCCTGGGCTGCTCCCATTTCTTCTTCCCAGGGGAGCAAGGCTAGGGTGTGGGCACAGGGCTGGGTCAGTTTGCAGAGGTGAGCTATAGGTAGAGGAGGTGAGTGAGGAGCATGGAGTAGCAGTATCAGATTGCGTGTGATAGGACAGTGGGGGAGAAGGTGTTAACAAAGGTCTTAAAGTCATGCAAGCATGAGCCTGGATTACTGCTTCATCTGGCAGTACCTTAAATACAACCAAAAAAAGCAAGGAAATCTGTAATAGCTGTGAAAAGCTGGTAGAAGTTATGCTTTCATAAATTTTCCAGAGAAAGGCAATTGAACTTCACATGACAACTGCAGAAAATCTCTGTCAAGATGAATGGAATATATTATCCAGTGGTTAAGTTCTATTAGTTTTATTTTTACAGAGATTTTGTTCAACTAAAGAGCATGAACGAACAAAAGAGCACATGAACATCTCCAGGCATACCCAGTGAAAATTATCATCTTCAAAGACAGAAAAACAAATAAATAACAAACTAGCAGCTCCAGTAACTGTAGGTTGTGTCATAGCATCTGCATTTGCAGCATGAAAAGTAGTTCTGCCCACACTGGAAGTTCAAGAGCATCTTTTGGCCTCAGGTCATGGACACACTCTGCTGCATCCTGGAGAACTCCTTTTGCAGCTTAATTTAAAGAACAGCAATCATCTTTTTTTTTTTTTTTTAACCTGATCAGAAAAGACCTGGTTGACCTTGGAAGACCTGTCATGGGACACTAAAAATACCATGATACTGTTATTAGAGCAGGCCAACTTTGCCCAGGTTGATTAGTTCAGAGAATCATTAGCATAAGTGATGTAACAGAAACCCCTCTAAAACTGATGAACCTTACAAAAGTTGAGATTCCTTGTCCTCAAGAAAACCTGTGGAGAAGAAAGATGGATTTTGTGTAGAGGCTTCCATATCTGCAGAGTGAATTCCTCATAATACGCATGCTTAGCTATCTAGAATGATCTTGCGACCTTCAGCTAAATCAAGTGCTGAAGTCACTACTCTGAGTGACTCCACAGGCAATGCCATAAAGAAAGAAAACTCCAAGGCTCTCATGAACAACTGAATGAGTGTTATCTCATTTAAAATCTGAATTTACAAAGCTGGATGGTTTCAACTTGTAGAATGAAAAGCAGAGTCTTCAAGTGGAATGATTTTATTCATTCACATTTCATATTTCAGTAATTTAAGGATAGATTAAGCAAAATAACCCACCTGTTTCAAAGATTTAAGTGTAGTTGCCCTGGCAGCAAACCACACACTACTCCTTTAGTGTAGTACTTATCACAGTTTTATCTTGCTTATCACACAGAATGTGCCAAAACCAGTACAACCTTGTACATCCTCTACTGCTTAGTTTTCTTACTCGCACTACAATGCAGTTTGTAGAAGCATCACTAACTTGGCAGAGATACCTATATTACATCTGACTGCAGAGACAAGCTGTGGAGAAACGGTAGCTCCATGACAAACATGTTTTTCAACATGTTCAGATGTAGCTTTGTGATTTCTTTTGTCATAGTCTTGGACTAGTTTGAAACTGCTGATAGCCAGGTCCCCCTAAATGCCTTTCAACAGTATATGCTTGCCTAGCTTTCAAACAGGCCAGGCAAAGTGAGCCTGAGGTTATTCTGACAAGGTGGAAACACAACCAAGACTGGCTGTGACCATCTCACTATTCTCTGACATATAGATATTTCTGCACTGGAGAGCAGAGTCAGATGGACATTCTGGCTCAGCTACATGCTCTTTCTGCAGGAGGAGTGGTGTCTTAGGCCATCAGTTTAGCAGTTAGCGAAGGAAGGAGATGTGGAGCAGGAGAGAAAATTCGCAGGATACAGGGGCACTACTGCTGTTTGTTATCTTAGCCATGTAACAAGTAAGACAGAATCTTCTGGAAAATTATTTTAAAGTAAGTTTAAAAGTGCTGGAATATATCCTAGTTAAGAGACAGTGACCATACTGAGAAAAGCATGGCACTTTATATCCATTATACAAATGCAGCAGCATTTGTATACATGGAGCATATAACTAGAACACAGCTTCGATACTGAGAGTTATTACTTTCCCAGTAGAGATACTAACACCATTAATGACTTTGTACATCACTGCACTCTCAGTTAAATAGTCTTTATGTTTCTTTCATGCTACAGTTACTGATGCACTGAATAAAGCCCAGAACTTACCATACCAGTCTTAGAGCTGCCTAATTGAAGTGTAAATTTATGCTCCATTTTATCTCTCTCAGTTTTTATGCATGGTGCATATCTACAGTCCTCAATGGTTACCTGTACAGTGAGAAAGTCCTCTGCACCTGGAGTTCTCTCACTGTGGGATGTTTTTCTATACTTGGAGAAAGTTTCCCAGGACTGCAGTAAACTAGATGAGCAGTTCCCAAAGTTTTTTGAATCACTGTTGACTCTCAACATTTCTGCAGGCTTACATGCAAGTTTATCATATCCTCATGAGATGGAAACCAGCAATATGACCAGTATAATGCTTCCTCCCACTGTGGGTTACAGACCATCAGTTCCTGCACCTGCAGAGATCATGGACTAGAGATTAAGAGTGACCAGGAATATGAAGGATTTTCTGAATACTTATCTGTATGTGGGAACAAAAGATTTAACCTTTAACAAATTCTAGGATATCTCAAAACCAAATTACGTCATATTTGGGTTAGTAGATACTAAGCCAAAAGAAATGCAGCTTGAGGAGGAATTCGGAGTATGATTTTCTTTTAAGACTGGGTGACATCCAATTGAATAGCAGAAATTGCAAAATTAAAGAAACAACTGTCAATTGCACAAGATTTAGAAGCACATATTAACTTATGTAGAAACTTGCAGCTCCTTACCTGATAGTTATCAGCCTCTGAGGATACTCCATTACCTCAGCAGAAGAAAGGAAATAGGAGGGGAGAAAACTAATTTACAGATTATTAGCTGAGGGAGAGAAGGGTGGAATAAGCAGCAGCTGGCAGGAAAAGTCAGTCTGCTAGAGGGCAAGGCACCATCTTTTCCCAGTGTTTAAAGGCAGAAAAAAAGAAGAGAGAGCTGGGAGCTAGGAAGCGCTCACAGTGTGCGTATCAGGTGTCTGTAAAACCAAATGATCAGAACCCCAGCAGTGAGATTTAATGCTATGACATTTTCTGGATTAGAGATTTTAGTTGCTATTCTTTTTAAAGGACCAGTCTACCAAGACTGCTTTGAAGAAACTAGAGTATCTCCATTTAAAATGTTTGTCTTCACCACCTTTTGTTCCTGATTTCCTCTTTTGTTTCTTCTTTCCATTCCTTGACACCTTTTCTTTACCATTGACTTCTTAGATTTCCAAAATATATATTTCCTTCCTTTGTCCATCTCAATACCACATAGCTATAATTCAATTTTTCACTTTTTCTTGAGTATTATAGGTTTTTTCCTTTCTCTCCTTTCTCCTTCCTTGCTTTTTATACCCTCTGTTTTCTTAATCTTTCCCCTTTGTCTCACATGTCTCCTACATACTGTAATTGTACCTCTGTAAGCTTCAAGTTTAAATGATGAAGGTTTGGTCATATTTGGAATAAGCATGAATACTACAAGAATTGGGGCAGCTGGAATCAGACTGTGACATCTGGATAAGCAATAGTGGGTTGAAGTGAATATAAAGGAGACCTCAGGGCCCCGGGAGGAAGCAACTGAAGACATGACAGGACATCCTAGAGTTTTGATATCATCGGATAGAGGGGTGAGAGAAGTGCTTTATGAACACTGGGCTTCAACTGGAACCCTGCAAGGGACAGACTTTCAGGAGGAACTCAAAGGTACAAAATTTGAATGGCATGAAGGACACACAGCTGTCAGCCATTGCTAACTGCTGACCAGCATACCATGGCCAGGTATGGTATGCATGAGGTATGGTATTCTTCCATGAGGAAATGAGGCCCTGATGGCCTCCTCTGCAGCATTACCACTCTAGAAGACAGTGAGATATTGTACACACATAGCAGAGCTATACATGTAAACAAGTTTTGGCACAGGGTTTCTCAGAAGGGAGTCCTTTACCATCCATGTTCTCCTTTATCTGCTGTGGCAAACACATTTCCCATCACTCATGTGGTGCAACCCGTAGTCACAAATGAATAGATCACTTCACTTAGAATGTTTGCAGTAGTCTCATTTGATCACTTTTTGTGTTACAGAACAGTGTAAAATGCTTCTGCTTCCTAAGTGGCGCTCACCCAATAAGACTGTTCAAATTCTCACATGCCTTGTGAGGGGTTAAAGAATCCCACTGCTGCTTTCCTTAGGTTCCTATGGTCTGAGTCACCCCACCGAGCTGCCCAGTTCTTCAT